TTCAGCAAACCCCTCCTCTCGCCCTATCGCCTCTGTTCTTTTCCTTGTGCCCAAACGGAAAACGAAAACGGGTTCCTTTATATGTTCATTGTCCTTCCTTTGGTTTTTTATTTCACAGGGAAAAGAACCAGAGAAGAGAAAGATAAGAACGAGAGGTGAGATGAAAACGGCACCATCTTCTCTTTGCCTTATTTTTGCACCTCCCCCTCCTGTCTTCATTTCTCTTCCACTCTTTTTTCCATTGCTCTTCCCATAATATTGCATTCCTTTTGATAACTCACAGGAAATTAAAATGGCCTCCTTGTTGTCTCTCCTCTCTCACTTCCCTTCTTTCTTTTTGTTGTTCTCATTTCGAAAAGACAGAAGGAACGGAGAGATAAGGGAGACAGGATAGATAAAGCAGAGTACCATCTTCTTTGCGCCTTGTTTTGTCTCTCCCTCTCCTTTATTCATCTCTCTTCTATTCTTTTCTTGGCTCTTCCCATGAAAATTGTGTTCCTCTTATCTCTCCCTCCTTCTCTCCCTTCTCTTCTCCTGTTCGCGAGAGCCTTCGACTTTAGGGTTGAGGAGAAAAAGAAAAGAGAAAAGAGGAACTACCTGGTTCTTGTTCCTGAGGCCACCATAGTACGACTGACGTGACAGCAGCGTACCCTCGTGGAAACGTGTATCACAGCTTCCAAATAGACCCTGTTTAAGCCACCCACGGGGGGGGATACCATGGGGGGGGGGGGGGGGGCCCAGGACGCTCAACGCTGAACCATAGGTGGTTCAGCCCCCGCGGGCCCCCCCCCCCTCCCAACCCCCCCCCCTACCCCCCCCTTACCCCCCCCCCCCCCTACCCCCCCCTACCCCCCCCCTAACCCCCCCCCCCCCCCCCCTACCCCCCCCGCCCATGGTATCCCCCCCCCCCCCTGTGGTGGGTTGGGGGTTTTTTTAGGGTTTTGGGTTTTAGGGTTTTAGGGTTTAGGGTTTTAGGGTTCTAGGGTTTTAGGGTTTTAGGGTTTTAGTTTTAGGTTTTAGGGTTTTAGGGTTTTAGGGTTTTAGGGTTTAGGGTTTAGGGTTTAGGGTTTAGGGTTTTCCCCGCAAAGGGGTACTAAGATGATACCCCCCCCCTGTGGTGTGGTTGGGGGTTGGTTTTTTAGGGTTAGGGTTTAGGGTTCAGGGTTTTAGGGTTTAGGGTTTAAGGTTTAAGTTTTAAGGTTTAGGGTGTAGGTTTTAGGGTTTAGGGTTTTAGGGCTTAGGGTTTAGGGGTTTACGGTTTAGGACCGTAGAGTAGACTTGGGGGGGGGGGGGGGGGGGGGGGGGGGGGGGGGGGGGCCGGGAACGCCCGACGCTGAACCATATATACCTTAAGGCTCTCAGGACTCTGTCTGGAGGGTGGCTTGGCCCAAAGACCATCTTCCGGGCATTCCGAGTCAATTGTGCGACCCTGAACCTCCAGGGGCTCTTAGTTTAGGGTGTTTTAGGGCTTCAGGTTTAGGGTTACCAGGTTCTTGGGCTGTTTTGAGCCCAAGGCGGCTTATAACGGTGTTTAGATGAGGTGCGAACCCTAAACCCTAAACCCTAAACCCTAAACCCTAAACCCTAAACCCTAAACCCCCCTACACCCTAAGCCTGTTTAGATGAGGTGCGCGCCCTCTCCTCGGACTTTGTGGCCTTGACGTTTCCGGACGGAAGTGGCATCGTGGAGGTCGCCGACAGAGGTTCCCTGCATTTGAGGCTCTAGGGCGGTTTAGGGTTTAGGGTTTAGGGGGGGGGGAACCTAGGAGGGCGGGAGGGTTTTAGAGGGGGGGGGGGGGTATAGTATAGGAGGGGGCCCATGAGTCTGGGGTTTAGGGTTTAGGGTTTAGGGTTTAGGGTTTAGGGTTTAGGGCTATCCGGGCCCAGGCTCTGTGAGCAAGTACTCCGCCGTGATCTTGGGAGACCTTGGGGCGCTGCTCGGAGACTCCGATGACGAGCGCCCAGCTTCTTGACTGACTCCTTTCCAGGGCTTCGGGGCTTAGGGTTTAGGGTTTAGGGTTTAGGGCTTAGGGGTTTAGGGTTTGGAGTTTAGGATCTAGAGCTTCTTGACTGACTCCTCCCCAGGGTTTGGGGCTTAATATAGGGCGCCGAAGAATTGAATAGGGTTTTGGGGCTATCATCCTACAGTTAGAAAGGGACCCTAAGGGAATATTATTATTATTATTACTATTATTGTTAGTTAGTTATTCCGACCCCTACCTTAGATGAAGAAGCTCTACTTGGAAGTTCGGGATACCGATAGCTGAATCATAAGCTGAGGTAGAACCCACTGATAAGCTCATTTCGTGCCCTCATAGGATTAGGGTTTAGGGTTTAGGGTTTAGGGTTTAGGGTTTTGGGTTAGAACTGGGTTAAACGTACAATTATATTTGGACTAATCAGTACCATGAACCTCAGTACCTAAATCTAGGCTAGGCCCTAGACCCTGCTGGCCCTAGCCGCTGAAGCCCTAAACCCTAAACCCTCATCGGTGGTCTACCAGTTTCAGCCTACCGTGCACAGGCGGAGCATCCTATCCACCTCCGTGAGCAGGAGCCTTGGACTATAGGGCTCTGTCTGTTCAGAGCTCGTGGGGTTTAGGGTTTAGGGTTTAGGGTTTAGGGCAGTTTAGGGTTTGTTAGGGATTACGGTGTAATTAGGGTTTAGGGTTTAGGTATTTCGGTTTCATTGGGTTTAGGGTTTAGGGCTATAGAGAAAGGGGTTAGGGATCATGATTAGGGATTAGGGAGGAGGGGTTAGGGATCAGGGTGGTTTGAGGAAATGTTGCTTTCTGGGTTTCCGCAGGATGAGACTGCTGCAGTGACCCTTACAACGAGAAAGTGCCTTGACTATTGGGTATTGGGCGCAAGCTCCCCTCGTAAGGGTAGAGAACTAGGAGTAGCTTCTCAGCCCTTTGCTTGGCATATCCCGTAGATTTTTTTGCGCATCTTAGACATCGTCTGTGAAGTCACGTCTGCCCGGCGATTCATGTTAATTGGCCTGTTTTGTGATCAATAAAACCCCCCAAAATCAGCTTTAACCCGGGGGGGGAGGGGGGGGGGAGGGGGCGGGGGGGGAGTGAGGGGGAGGGGGCGGGGGGCGGGGGGCCGCCCTACGCCCAAACCCCAAACCCTAAACCCTTCACCTTACTCAACGTTAAGGGGCATTCAAGGTCTTCTGCTCCCCGAATGCCCAAACCCTAAACCCTACACCGCAAACCCCAAAACCCAAACCCCAAACCCTAAACCCCCTGGGTCCCCAGCACAAAGAAGGCCTTCTTCGCCGCTGACGTCGCCGACGCAGCCGCGGCATTGAGTCGCCACAGCTTCGCCGTGTGCGCCTGCGGGTTGGGGTTTAGGGTTTATAAGGTTTAGGGTTTAGGGTTTATAGGGTTTAGGGTTTAGGGTTTAGGGTTTAGAGTAATAAGGACCCCCAAAAGGTACCTTGCAGCGGACATGACAAACCAGGGCCCAACTTCACTCTGCGTGTGGTTTTAGGGTTTTGGGGTTTAGGGTATAGGTTCTAGGGTTTAAGGTTTAGGGTTTGGGGTTTAGGCCCCCCCCCCCCCTCAAAAAATCCGGGCAAGTTAGAGTTGAGGGTGCTCATGTACAGGCTGCGCTTGCCCGACGCCGTGGACTGCTTCAACACTGCCGAGGCGCCGCTTCTTGTTTTAGACATGGCCCTAAACCCTAAACCCTAAACCCTAAACCCTATAAAAAGTGCTGCTTTTTGTACCATGCTCTGCTGATGCCTCAGTTGTCAGGAGGTTCGGGAACCCTTGGGTTGAAAATAGCCCAACAGCCTTGTGCAGTAAGGCTTCTTTGGGCCCATAAAAAAGCCCGTTTAGGGGTTAGGGTTCGGGGTTTGGGGTTTAGGGTTTAGGGTTTAGGGTTTAGGGTAAGAAGGGTCCTCCCTCACAATTATCCTCAGAACCCCTTCTTGCCCTTTGAACCATCATCGCCCCTGGATCTCCCAAACTCTCAGAACCCTTCTCATCCCTCGAACCCTTGCAGCCCTTGTAGCCCTTACACTTCCTTTTTATGACCCTTACAGCCCTAAACCCCTGCAAACCCCTGAGCTCCTAAACCCTCATCCCCCTAACCCCTAAACCACTAAACCCCTAAACCCCAAAAAAACAGAAGGAAAAACGCCCCGAGTACGGTCCCTTACTCTTGTTTATAGGGATCCGAAGTATGGGCATCAAAATATGTACAGTGTATGCAAAACTAGCATAGCAATAATTTCTTGTCGCAGAACAAATGCTCCAAAAGTTCGAAAGGCTCCCTCCCGGGCCTTGTGGCTTAGGGTTTTGGGGGTTTTGGTTCAGGGTTTAGGGTTTAGGGTTTAGGGTTTAGGGTTTAGGGTTTAGGGTTCAGGGTTTAGGGTTTAGGGTAAGGGGTTCAGGGAGCTAGGGTTAAGGGTTTAGGATTTAGGAATCTAGGGGTTTTGGAGATTACGGGCTTTGGGGGGTTTGGGGTTTAGGGATTCAGGGCTTTGGGGTTTCAGGGCTTTCCGGGCTTTAGGGGTTTGGGGTTTTAGGGTTTAGGGTTTAGGGGCTCTGGGGCTTTGGGGTTTTAGTAGTGTTTTGGGTTTAGGGCGACTGCTGCGCCAGTTCGCCAAGGGTTTAGGGTTTAGGGTTTCGGGTTTAGGGTTTAGGGTTTCGGGTTTAGGGTTTAGGGTTTAGGGTCTAGGGTGCGGGAAGTTTTTGGGGGATGAGGGCTTAGGGAATGTGATTGGCTCATGCCAATGGGGTGGATCTAGATTCTGGGCCCCCATTCAAGAAGAAGGACCAACCCTAAACCCCAAACCCCGAACCCGAAATCCAAACCCTACATGTTCAGATCACCCCCCCCCCCCCAAAAAAAAAAAAAAAAAACACACACACACACACACACACACACTGTACGCACACACACACACACCCTCACACACATGCACACGCACATGCACACGCACACCCAATGTCCCCAACAACTTGCCTGCCGCGAGAGGAGGCCTGGATGCGCTACTTCGCCAGCTCAGGCTACAGGGTCTGCGGTCATCGTTTATAGGGTTTATAGGGTTTATAGGAGCTCCGGGCTCGAGGCCTTCCAGCGGGTAGAGCTGTTAACCACTAAACATCGAGGGATCTTAGCTTGATGGCTGCCGCTTCTCTTGGGGACAAGGCATTGCGCGACCTTTCCATTGGGGAGTGCATTGATTTGGTGCTTACACATGTTAGTGATGAGATCTTTAAGAGCCTGTGGCATGGAGATGTGTATACATGTGCCGGCCTTGGCCCGGGGGTGTGGACCTTGTATGGCTACAAGCTTCAGTCTGTAAACCGGAATGTGGGCAAGCTGGTAGCTGCAGACGAGTCGTTGGCAATATACAGGCCCCCGTGCAACCATCGCTCATTCTCGACACTTGTTGAGCTTTGCGCGGGCATTGGAGGCATCACTGTCGGGGCCAGCTTCTGCGGCTTTTCCAGCATCCTTCATGTCGACAAGTCTCCCATAGCATGCCAGACGATCCGCCTGAACGGTGTTGGGACCTTGCCTCCCGTGAAGTACAAGTGCAGATTGGACAGGCGTGCAAGGACATTCGCCCCGTGCTGTGCTCAGGCATACCGTGCAACAGTCATTTGGTTTTCGGTTTTGAAGGTGGTTTAGTGGATCCCCGGGGTCAGGTGCTGTACCATGTCCTTCAAATCACATGGAAGATTCAAGCCTCAGGCCTTGTCCTTGAGTGTGTTACCGAGATACAGAACCACGGCGACACAATGCAGCTCTTGTCGGAATTTGCCATGCGCATGCAGCTTCAGCTCCATCAGATCACCCTGGAACTGAGTGATCAATGGGCCTCGAAGCGACACCGTTGGTGGGCAGTGCTGTTGCCAGCTTTCCTGCCCGGCTTTACCCTTCTGCCTTGGCCAAAGCTCCCCACGAAGCTCTGTGTGAGAGATGTCATGCCAACACTTCAGGTCTGGCCGCAGGAACAGGAACGGGACCTTGCGTGGACTGACCGTGAAGCCGAGCTGATGTCGGACCCTGCATACGGTCGTGACCGCAGGCACCTGGACCTGCATTCACAAGCACCAACGGCTCTGCACAGCTGGGGCTCAGCACTGGCACCGTGCCCGTGCGGCTGCCGTTCTGAAGGCTTTTCGACGCAGTCGTTGCTTTCCAGAGGCCTTCGGGGTGTAGGGGTTTTCTCGGCCTCCGTTCAGGGGTTTAGGTTCCTTCACCCGGCCGAAGTGGGTTTCCTTAATAGCCTTCCCGTCACCTTCAAGCACCTGCCTGACTCCCGCGCTGCCTTGTGTCTGGTTGGACAGTTGACGGCCCCACTCCAGGCCGTCTGGATCTTCTCCCAGGTCAAGGAATGGACAGCCTTAGTGTTCTCCCTCCCAGTCAGCGAATCTCCGCAATCCCTGCTGAGTGCCTTCAAGGACATGCTGCAGCACTCTCGGCACGATTGTTGGCCCCCCAGCGAGCCCATTGATGCCTTGCTCTGGATCAGCCGTGAGGGCACATCGCAGGCCATCCGAATCACTGCTCCAATCCAGGTGCATCAGCTTGTATGTGCTGAGAAGGCCTTGTTAGGTTTGGGTCTTTCTGTTCGGGTTTATTCAGGGTCCCGACTCCTACCCCCCCATGCCTTCCTGCACCCCAACAATGAGACTGCCCCGTATGTGCTGACTGCGGCTGACAAAAAGGCCCGCAAGGAGATCCATTCCGCTGCTCCCGGCCACGATGCATCACTTTCAAAGGGCACATCTGACGTTACCATATGGAGTGGCCTCATGCGTTTGCAAGCCGCCTCCCAGCTCCAGGTGTTTGTGGTGCCGCCAGCAATCGCCACATCATGGGTGGCCAAAGTTGTTGTGTCTTCGTCTGGCCTCTCCTTCACCTGGCCGAGCTCCTGCAACTCCTGCCTGGTGCCGTTTGTTTGGGAAGGCCATTGGTCTCTTCTGGTGTTGAGTCAGGACAGACAAGCCGGTACAACTGCTGCATTGCATGACGGCCTGCCGGAGCGCAACCGTGAAGCTGCCAAAGCTCTGGCAGATGCTCTCCTTGCTGCTTGTGGCCTGCCCCGGGCCCCTCTTGTCGTTAGCCCAACTCCCCTGCAACAGGAACCGGATGAATGTGGTCCAGTGCTCATTGCCTCTGCTGCCGGCATTCTTTTGGGAGAACACATCCCCTTCCCGGATCGAATGCAAGACGCCCTTGCTTTCTGCAGGCTCATGCCAACACATTGTGCGCTCCTCTACGGCTGCGGCGGTCTATCCGAGGCTCAGTCCTCGGAACTTCGGGCCATGTTGACGGCACGTGGTGTGCCAGAATCTGCTCTCGACGAGCGCATTCAAGGCGCTGTTCAGAAAATTGGCGTCGGGCCCATTCAAAAGGCGCTGCAAGCTTCAAATGTGTGGCAGTCTCTCAAGGCTGCCGGCTCGTCGCCGGGCTCTCTCTACAGGTGGGTTCGTCCAGAAGAACTGAAGGCTTTTGTTCAAACAAAGGCTGACCAGAAGTTTGGAACAGCAATAGGCAACGCCAAGGCCCGCAAGCAGAAGCCCTCCAAGTCGATCAAGCCGGTCCTCAATGTTGATCCATTAGCCTTACAGATCGCGCCGGGATCTTTCGTGACCACTCAGAACACTCCTCTTGCCCAACTCGCCTTTGAAGAGGTCGGCCCACAGGCCCAAGGCATCGCATTCTGCACTGCGCAACAGTTGTTGCCGTTTGTTGCTGATTACCGCCCCCTGAGTGTGGACGGCCTGGCCATTGTTTCCACGGCGCCGTTGCCAACTGAGGCTTGTTCTGGAGCACCTTGCTCGCACATCAGGTTCCCAGCCGTCTACTCACCTACCCAGGAAGCAGTTTTGCTCAGCGGTACCCTGCTGCAACTTGGCGATGAGCACATCCAACTCGCCACCGGAGACGCAGACATGGGTTCCATTGATCAGCTGGACACAATGGTTGGCCGCCTCTCCTTTTATCGCGACGAAACCCAGCTGAACTGGGAGGACTTTGTTAAGTCACCGATCCGTGCAATGCTCCAGCATATCCCCGGCCTCTCTCTCTGCAAGGAGCCCAGCTGTAAAGGTGATTGCAGCCACTTCCACCCGGCAGTCGATGAACAAGTGGAGCAAATGTTGCTAGATGTCTGGTCGCGCCAATTTGCCAAGGCCATCGGGGGTAGGGCCGCTCCTGCCCAGGCTGAGGTGTTTCAGGCTCTGGTTCGTGTGCCCAGCTCAGCTGTCAAGCATCTCCAGCGACTCCAACAGCCAGGCGTCTACTTTGAGCCCCGCGCGGCATCCGGCTTCGGGCCCCACCCCTCCTTTGCAGTGGTGTGGTTGCCTGGATATGACAAAGCGCAAGCGCTTCATGCTCTCAGGACCACCGAGAAGGCCTTGGGCCTTGCGAGGCTTGGGGCCAAATATGGCCTGCGCGTCATGGATGCGGACGAGAAAACAGTGTTCGAGACACTTCGACCCTCCCAGAGTTTCGTCAAGGCCAAGGTACTTGCTCGTTGGCGTCTGCACCCATTGCCGCATGGAATGCAACGCAAGGCCCTTGTGCAGCTCCTGGCCAAATGGGGCTGGGCTGCTAAGCCCTTACAGCCGAGCCGAGGCGACTCCTCGGGCAGTGCCTGGGAGGTTGGCGGTGATTCTGAGCCCCCGGCTGCCGTCATGCCATTTGGTGATGGTTTCGTACTTATTCACAAAATTCGTGACCTTGGCCCTCAAGCCAAACCGGTGGCCATCTGTGCCTCAGCACGCACCCGACAGCGCATACTGTACGATGACCCCGAGAAGCCTTCCGTTGCCGCCGACCCTTGGAGTGGCGGTCGTGACCCCTGGAGCGCAGCGCGCCCACCGCCTGGGCTACCCCTGCCCACCACGAGCCCCTCGACCCCCTCCACATCCAGCGCCAGCACCAAGCTGTTGCAACTTAAGACTGAGCTTCAGGATGGACTGGCCACCCTCGTTCGCCAGCATGTGCAGGATGCTGTCCCTGCTGCAGCATCTTCCCAGACTGCGCAGGCCCATGAGGGTCGACTGCAGCAACTTGAAGTGGGCTTGCAGGAAGTCCGCCGGCAAAACTCCAAGTTCGAGGAGTGGTTCCAGACATTCGGTTCGCAGATGCAGCAGCAAGCAGGCAAGGTTGATGACCTTCATAAAACCTTGACCCACCAGCAAACCGAGATCTCTCAAGTCAAGACCGAGGTCTCCGCCGCCATGGCGCAAGCGATGTCTGCCCTGCACCAAGACATGTCAAAACAGCTCGCAGCTCAGACAGCTTCACTTGAAGCCATGCTGTCAAAGAAGCCTCGCACTGAGTGACTATTGCACCCCGGCTGCCACCCAAGGCCGGGTGGCAGGCCGTCCCGCCCCAGCCTTTTTAAGTCTAGTTGGGCCCTGTTGTGCTTGTGGTTTGGCATATTGCAGGGTCTCCCTTTGGTTTCATCATGCCGCCTTGGAGAGGCCACTAATCCTGGCCCCGACTCGGTGGTACATTTTGGCACCTCTAATCCCAGCGGACTTCGAGGCAAGGAGTCCCTCGCTGCTGACCTTGGTCCTGGGGTCTGGCATTTCTCAGAGACACAGCTCTCTGCTGTCAGCCTTCCCTCCTCTGCTCGAGCTCTAAAGGCTCTCACTCGAACCCAGCGCCGTGATGTGCGCATCCTTGCTGGAGCCCCGGCTCCTCTTCGTTCAGGTTCAAGTTGGGCGGGCGCCTGGTCCGGAGTCTTAACTCTAAGCGACTATGCGTGCCGTCCCCTCCAACTGCAATGGATGCACGAGGCTTACCACACAGGTCGTGTCCAGGTTCTGCATCATCATGTCCACGGCGCCCCTGTGCTGACTGCCAATGTGTATGGCTTCCCGCAGGGCAACACCTTCGCCAACCCACGTGCCCGCACGGAACAGCTTCTTGAAACCCTGACCCATGAGCTGGTACTGGGCCGCAAAGGCATTCGCATAATATCCGGAGACTTTAATCATTGGCACGGTGATCTTGAACAGGTGAACATCTGGAAGCTCC